ATCACTCTTGGAGAGCCTGGCAAGCTACCGAGAGTATCCCGTCTGCACAGCAGAGCCTGGCAAGCTACCTATGGCATACTCAATATGCCAAAAACAGTAACAATGATGGTCCTTATTCCCCTGACCCTGAGAGCTCCCAATATGCCATCAGGCTACACTAGCACGTGACAGGGATGAATGGAGACGTTACTGGTGCCCGCTCCAGCAAATCGATGAACAACTGGGTGATAGTGATGGTGAATTTCACTGGGACTCTATCATATGTGGGTTGGTATTTTGTTAGCAGAGGGAGAAGTCATCAATCATTTTGTCTTATTCATAAATTCTTCTCCTTCTCCTTCTTCTTCTTCTTTCCTTCTCCTCTACCTCCTCCTCCACTTCCTCATCTTCCTCCTCCTTCTCCTTCTTCTTTTTTGTTTTTTTTTTTTGGGGGGGGAGTTTCCTCCTTGGGGCCACACTCAATGGTGCTCAGGGTTTACTCCTGGCTCTGCATTCAGGGAACACTCCTGATGTTCTCAGGAGACCATATGGGGTGCTGGTGATCAGACTCAGGTCAGTTATGTGCAAAGCAAGCATGTGTAACAACTATCCACTGTGTAACAACTCTGGCCACTATTTTCCTATTTATTAGTTTCCTTGTTTTCATCTTTCTCCCTATACTGAACTAGGGATATGTCCTTCTAATCTATATTGCACTTCATACTTTATTTTTAAACAACATTTAAGTGGTTGCTAAACCTATCCATGGTTGTATAGAAATATATGGTTATATTGATCAGATATTTATGTATAATCTTCAAATATATATATATATATATTGCTTTTGGGGTCACACCTGGCAATGCTCAGAGGTTATTCCTGGCTTTGCACTCAAGAATTACTCCTGGCGGTGCTCAGGGGACCATATGGGATGCTGGGATTCGAACTCAGGTCGGCCGCGTGCAAGACAAATGTCCTACCCGCTGTGCTATCACTCCAGCCCCAATATTTTTAATTCTAGCAGTTCTTTTGGCTAATTTTCAAATTGGGACATTTAAAAACTAGCTTTGGCAAATGTTCTCAAGCATGGTGCTTTAATCTATGGCTGATATTTTCAACATTTTTGTGGTCTGTTCCCACTGGTTCTTTCACATGGTGCTTTGACTTCTGCATTGTTGGTTATATTTTTACTACATTTTCTTTATTAACCTTGAAAGATCCATTTGGGAGATTCTTTATCTGAGGCCCTGAAAAAACACTCATTTCTATAGGGTTTGTTTCTGCTGAGTCCTGGAATTACCGCTTGCCCTGAATCAGATGCCTACACTGAGACTCTGGATTCCTCTCCCGGGATAAGTCAAGCTAAAACCTTACATGCAGATCAACCTCGTTCCATGAGCAAGGAAAGAGTTCTGTCTCCTCCTTTTTATCCTGGTTCTACTTAAAACCCCAACAATATCCCTTGCCCTCCATAAGTGGAGATAGAAAATTCTATTTCCTCTCTTTCTTCTAAAAGTGCAATACTTTGGAGTTCCCACTAAATTCAGTGGGAAATGCCTGTTTGAATCACCCATTTTGTGACAACTTAATCCATGATCTCTATCCTCCTTGCCCCAGAAAGCTACCAAAATAAAAACCCATGTTTGCCTATATAGAAAATTATCCTCGAGGTAAAAGCAGTACTAGTTGGACTGGGAATATGGCTCACAGGATAGAGTACATGGCTTGCATGTGTGAGACACTGAGGAGTGATCCCGTAATAACAACAAGCGATAACACAGTACTATGCCCACTTTCCTTAGATTTTAGTCTTATGTTCTTTACTATCTGGTCAGCTCTTTAAGGCTTTGAGAAGACTACAACTACAATATTCAATATTGCTATTCTTTTTAGCAATGTGGGATACTACAAATATCTTAACTAGTGTAGATGAACTATTTTGTGTATCTATTATTTCTTACATATGTACAAATTTTTAACTGTAAACTATTTTTATTTTCTTGGTTTTTTTTTCAGTGCCAGGGATCAAATCCTTAAGCATGTCTTAAGCATGCAATGCATATTTACTGATGTGCAGTCCCCACCCTTATCTATAAACTCTTTAAAGAAGGGATTCTTTTGTTCTATTTTCTGCCCCATCCCAGGCTTAAGAATAGGACCAAAGATATAATTGTCTCTTAAATATTCCTAGAATGAATAAATAAGCTCTTTTACAACCATAAGCAATTGTGGAAGCCTGTGTGGGGCTAAATCAAACTCAGTCTCGTTAGTCCATAAGCACTGCAATTCATAGCACATTCTTGAATAAGTTCTACATGCCTCACTCTTACTAAGCAATGAGGAGCTGACGAATGTACACACTTAAGTTTTAGTAAGGCACCAATCACTCAGCATCGCAACTGTGAAGGTGTTCTGTGAGATAGTATTTATGCTTCTTTCACTTTTCAAATTTCTGGAGCTAGAACATAATTTATGTCTACAGTGGTCATGAGGGAAATTCTTTCAGGGGAGACATGCCTCAGAAGGGGTGTTCAGGAGGTCTGGGGGAAAGGTGGCTCTTTCTAATGATTTTTGGCCAGCCAAAATGATTGTTCAATGGAAGTGCCTGAAGATGCTATGGTCTTCAAGCCTTGCAGTGACAGGGGTGCCTAGACCACTCTAGCAGTGTTGGGGAGTATGCATGACTGCACCTGGGGAACCATGTGTTCCTGAGATCAAATCTGGATCAGGTGCATGCTAGATGTGTACCCTAACCACTATACTATCTCCCAACTCATGGAGGGCAATCTCTTGTCCTTCACATTTCTGAAATGTTTTACCCCAGTGGTATGGAGGCATGGTGATTTGCAACACTGTTATTGATAGCTGAGAATGCATCGTTTCAACCCCATACCCACCCCAGAATGCCCACTTCCCTCTACTAATGTTCCAAGGATCCATGTAGGAAATATTAAAGGCAATTGTAGCCTAAGGTTGAAGTCACAGTTGCCTCCATCAAATTCATAAGATTTATGTCCCAGCTTTTAGATCACCCCCTCCTCCATACCACAACTAATGTGTAGACCAGCTTAGAGATGCTCTAAGGACAAAATTCTCCTTTGTAAAATGCAATTTCTAGTCTTGAATCCTGAAAGGAATCAACTCATGAGGAGGGGGCCAGCAGTCTCAGAGACCTGAGTCCAGTCTTCACCTTCCTAAGTTCTTATCTCAGGTATTTTCTTGCCCATTCCCAGAATCACCCCCATTTTATTGATCTACTTCCAGCAGGATTCACAATTCACTTCCCTGGAGCGATAGCACAGCGGCAGGGTGTTTGTGTTGCATGTAGCCTACCTGGCCGACCCGAGTTCGATTCCTCTGCCCCTCTCGGAGAGTCTCGCAAGCTACTGAGAGTATCACGCTCGCATGGCAAAGTCTGGCAAGCTACCAGTAATATATTCGATATGCCAAACACAGTAACAACTAGTCTCACAATGGAGATGTTACTGGGCCCACACGAGCAAATCGATGAACAATGGGTGGACAGTGCTACAGTGCTACACTACTTCCAGTAGGATTCACAATTCCCTTCCCAATCTACTCGAACCCAGCGGATACTCAGTTCACCTTTCCAAAAGGCCCTTTCAAGGTTTAAAGGAGAAAACAGAAAAATAAACACAGAGATTCCAAGAAAACAAACCAATCAGTATACAGAGCCCAAGTTGGCTATCTCCCACGATTGCCAGACTCTACTTTATTTCACTATCTCTGAGAGATCCAGTCCACAGCCCAATCTAGCTGCTCAATCCTCAACTCCTTCTGATGCAGGCAGGCAAGGAGGGAGGCACCGCCCTGCCCCAAGGCAATGGCGATGAATTTCCTGGTAAAAAATAACATCAATAGCCCTGAAGTTGCAAAAAGTCAATTCTGCAGAAAACAGGAACTAAGGCTTGATATGGCTTCACCTGGTGCCAGAAACAGACGCAGAGACAGCTGGAACCCCCTCCAAGAGAAGCTCCAGCAGGAACAAAAGACAAGAAAAGGAATTTCAAAGACTATTGACTTTATCCCAACTCTATTCTACTTGGCAATCTCCTTAGCAATGGACTTTTAAACCTAGGTAGAAACCCCATGTGAGGATAGGTTGAGAAAACCCTATAAAAGCCACCTTGAACAAAGGAAAGGTGTACATATGCTACCTGAGTCCCTGTGCTGCTTGTGCCCACGTGGTCAAGCATATGTGACACCCGAGCACATATGTCACCCGCATCCTCCCTCTTGAGACGTGTACTTTCCTGCTTTCGTATCTTATGCTGATGTGTGTACTGGCTTTCTCTGCCTTTGGGGAAGCCCACACTCTCTCTTGAGCATGTTACTCTCCACTCTCTCCCACACACTCTTCCTCCTCCCCTTCTAAAATCTCCAAATAAGATCTCCAAGTAAGATTTTACCTCACTGCTCTTCTACTCCTGAAATTCTTTTCTGTGAGGGGAGACAAGAACCCAGTAATCCTGAGTCCCAGGGTGGCAGAGGTGGATCAGGAGAAAGTGACCATCTTTCATCTCTCTTTTCCCTGCATCACGTAAGCCAGCCATGAGGCCCACCGACATCACTTCTAAGTTCTCAGTGTGAAAGATACCGTCCCTAAAACTTTCAACTTAAAACATCTGTTTGATGAAGTTTAGGAAGTCAGAGCCCCTTGTACCTTCTGTTTGGGAAGAGAGTCCACTTGCCCTCACCCCACTCTCTTTCCCACTCTCCCCTCCCCCCACACACCATTCTTCAGTTGATGGAGAGCACTGATCTTCAAACCTGACTTCGCATTGGAGGGAATCTTGCCTTCTTCTTTGCAGAAGGAGGATACCAGCCATGACCTTCCAGCAGACAGGATCCTACCCTTCTCTTTACATCTCTGCCCTGTTTTTACTAGCCCCTCAACATTCCCATTGCATAATCGCACACGTGCCATCACAAAGCATTCACATCACACAAGATCTGTGTGCATAGGTCTAAGACCACGAGACCCTTCTAAAAGAAATTACCATGAACAAGATGGAGGCAAAATTCATCAAGTAGCCTGGGAAACGATCTTTCCAGGTGAGCTTATCCTCGTCGTCATCCTGGGGAGAAACAGAAAAGCAGAGAGACTATTAGAGGACACAAGCGGCTGATAAGAATGGTCCCTCAATAGAGAAGGGATCACTAAGACAATGATGGTTGGAGGAATCATTCAGGATGGGAGGTGTGTGCTGAAAGTAAATAAAGGACCAAATGTGATAGCCTTTCAGTATCTGTATTGCAAACCATAATGCCCAAAAGTAGAGAGAGAGTGATGAGGGCAATTTTCTGCCATGGAGACAGGGAGAGGATTGGAAATGGGGGGTATACTGGGGGTATATTGGTGGTGGAGAATGTGCACTGGTAGAGGGATGGGTGTTTGATCATTGCATGATTGAAACTCACACATGAAAGCTTTACAACTGTATCTCACCATGATTCAATTAAAAATAAGGAATGGTCCCTCTATTTGAATACATTTGCATATATTTATACATCATTCTGCACAGGTGCTTTCTTTAGTCTGTATTGTTTACCCTTCACAGCAAATACAGCCCTCCTCATTGTACGTTTTCAAGATAAATTGACCTAGCCTGAGAAAACTAAGGCAAACCGAGGATAAGAGTTGATTGCCACCTCATGCTGGGCCGAAGTTCTAGCTTCACCACATATCAGTTGTATGATCTTGGACATGTCTCTGAACATTTCTGACCCCTCATGTCTTCATCTGTGAAACAGGCTCAGTCAGGACACCTCATGCTGCCAACTGCCCAGGATGGTTTTATTTGTTTGTTTTGCTTAAATGAGAAACATGTGGACATCTTCAAGCAATGGATAAGTGCCATACATGTTAACCACCATGGGGGCAGCATCCTAGAAATAATTTCCATAAAACGGCAACCAGGTGCAGGGAGATAGTACAAGACTGGAGGCATTCATCGTGCATGTGCTTGACCCAAATCCAATGCCCATCACCACATGGTCCCTCTAGCACTGCTGAGTGCAGCTCTGGAGGCTCCCAAGCACTGCCAGGGTAGCCTGGGTATCCCCAGTACCACAAGACTCAAGTAGCACCACAATCCTAGGTTCTTGTGTTGAATTGCAAACCTGATGGCTGAGAATTGCAGTGTAGGCTCTGAGGATCCTCAACTTTACTTGGGAGACTTCCTCCAAAAAAAGATAATCAATTTTAGACCTTCAAACATGTACAAATTACCCACAGTATTTTTTCTTTTTGGTTTTTAATGTTGTTTGTTTTTGTCTTTTGGTGGGGAAGGGGGCATATCCAGCATTGCATAGGATTAACTACTGGCTCCAGGCTCAGAGACCTTTCTTGGAGGGGCTTAGGGGTCCAAATAGCGATCTGGGGATTGAACTGGGTTGGCCACTGTAAGGCAAATGTCCTACCGACTATACTATCTTTCTAGGCCCCACCTACAATTTTTGTTGTTCAAAGAACTATAGGTGGTGTTCACATATTTCCTAAATGCAAAGACTGTATTTAACTCTGGTCACAAATGCAGACATTTCAAGGGTCAGGATAAGTTAATTTTTTACGGGTCAGTTTGGTTCAGAACCCCACCATTGTCCCCATCAGGTCACACTCTCCTGGGGGACAGCTATATTCCTTAACTTTGGTCAAGACACTTCTTTGAACTTTCATTCTCTAAAATTAAGAATTAACATAGGGATTTGTGAAACAGATCTAATGTTTGTAAAGATATGTGAAAACAGCAAAGGAAGCCACAAGTTCTTCTACAGCCTCACTGACTCAAACTCCTCCAGGGAATGTTCTAGGGCCCCCAGCTCCATTTTCTCTTCGCTCTTCCTTCAGATATGAACATACCTTAGTTGGCTCTAGCAACAACAGTGCCATCTAGCCTTTGAAAACTTGTACTGTAGGTGGAAGAACTTGGCCTAAGAGACTTTTTTTTTTAAATCTTGATAATATATATATGCTGGAGCGATAGCACAGCGGGTAGGGCGTTCGCCTTACAAGCGGCCAACGTGGCCGACCCGAGTTCGATTCCTCCGCCCCTCTCGGAGAGCCCGGCAAGCTACCGAGAGTATTTGATATGCCAGACACAGTAACAACAAAGTCTCCAATGGAGACGTTACTGGGCCCGCTCGAGCAAATCGACGATTAACGGGAGGGCCTTTTTTTTTTAAATATAAAAGCCGAAGACCTCCAGAACCAGCCACCACCATATTGAGACCACTCTCCACACGCATGAAGGTACCAGCAGAGGAACAAAGGCATGTGGGTCCCGGGGCTGAGATCTCCAAGCCTGCTCCGATCGGGGCTGAGCATCCTCCACCCAGATCCTCCATTCTCCAGTAGGCAGGGGTCACACCCACCAACTGGCCCCCTGGCGCCGTGTAATCCCATCAATGGCCAAGACCTAGAGACTATAAAACCCAGCTCCCGGAAGAGAACAGCGCAGAGTCTCCTGCCCCCCGTGCCTGACTGTCCTCGCTGGGGCTCTTTGGTGGGAGCGGGTTGAGTTTCCCTCCCCGCCCCACCAGGGCTCCAGCAGCCGAAAACCTCCAGAAACAGCCACCACCATGCTGAGACCACTCTCCACACGCATGAAGGTACCAGCAGAGGAACAAAGGCATGTGGGTCCTGGGGCTGAGATCTCCAAGCCTGCACTGATCGGGGTTGAGCATCCTCCACCCGGATCCTCCATCCTCCAGTAGGCAGGGGTCACACCCACCAACTGGCCCCCTGGCGCCTTGTAATCCCATCAACGGCCAAGACCCAGAGACTATAAAACCCAGCTACCGAAAGTGCACTGCCGCATTTGCAGCCACATGACATCTTATTATCTCATTCCTATTTTGGATAAACTGGCAGGCTACTGAATATAACCTGCCCACATGACAGAGTCTGGCAAACTCCCTGTGGTGTACCCAATATGCCAAATACCAGTAACAATGATGGGTCTCATACTCCTAACTCTGAAAGAGCCTTGAATATGGCACTTTTAAAAAAATCTCAGGGCTAGGACGAAGGAGACGTTACTGGGGCCTGCTCGAGGCAATCAACGAATAACAGGATGGTCGTGATCATGATCGTTAAAATATCTAATATGTATAGTTAGGGTTTGGTTTTATGTATTATGGAAAATAAGACTATATCACTGTCTTTTCCAAAAATTGACTCATCACTATAAATTTATCGATATAGTCATTTGTCACCTATTTCTCATAAAATTTTTCACCTACATATTCCAAAAATCTTTCATGCACCCTCTGGGTGCAGAATTTGGTGCCAGACATGGTGGGGAGAAGAATGAAAGTAAATTATGATCCTTGTCCTTGGGGGTCTGACAGTCTGATGAGCCAGATGATGTGATATCCAGACACCAACCAGGCTCAGGAACTACAGGCAGATTTGGATGATATTAGGAGCTTGTCATAGAGGAAAGAAGTTCTGGGTCTTTTACCACTGCACGTGTGGAGGATAGGACTGAGCTGTGTTCATCGTGACCGTGAACACTGAAACCATAGAGTGAGAAGCACCTTCCTTTATGACGATGTAAGTAAAGGCCCTCCCGTTGATCGTGGATTTGCTCGAGCGGGCCCAGTAACGTTCCCACTGGAGACTTTGTTGTTACTGTGTCTGGCATATCGAATACTCTCGGTAGCTTGCCGGGCTCTCCGAGAGGGGCGGAGGAATCGAACTCGGGTCGGCCATGTTGGCTGCGTGCAAGGCACACACCCTACCCGCTGTGCTATCGCTCCAGCAAACCAGAGATATTCTGTTGCACATATTCTGCCACAGACTCAGGGAGGCTGCCAGTCTTCCAGATTTAGAACAAAGTGCTCACAGGCTATGACCAATGAGAATAGTGGGAGGATATAAACCTTTTACCTAATGGTATAAACGATATAAAAATGGTATAAACGATATAAACCTTTTACCTAATGGTACTGCAAATAAGCCTAGATCATCTTCTTCTAAGTTAGACCAAACAGGTGGAAGGAGTGGCACACTGGGAGTATTTTCATTTAAGATTTTGAGGAGGAAACTGAAGATGGGAAGGTAGCACTATAGCACTATCCTCCAGTTGTTCATCAATTTGCTCAAGCGGGCACCAGTAACCTCTCCATTGTGAGACTTGCTGTTGCTGTTTTTGGCATATTGAATACGCCACGGGGAGCTTTCCAGGCTCTGCTGTGCGGGCGGTATACTCTTGGTAGCTTGCCAGGCTCTCCAAGAGGGATGGAGGAATAAAACCCGGGTCATCCATGTGCAAGGCAAACATCCTACTGGCTGTGCTATGGCTCCAGTTCGAAGATGGGCAGGTTGATGACAATATTTCTTAGGATTCTGAAAAGAAATGAGTGATGGGTTCATGATAAGGCTCCTCCCTTGTTACAATTATGTTTTTGGCCATTCTCTGGCTCTTTTTGCCCCCACTCCACTCAGTGGTCAAGAGATGAAGGTTTCTGCCAAGAGTTCCAGCAAACCAGGTGTGTGCTCTGAACTAGGAATGAGGAGCGGAAGGAACAGAATTCAGACAGTCTCTGTGCAATGGATCTTTTTCTCCAGCGGGGCTCTCTGATCATGGTGGGGTAAGGAGAGATGAAAAAAGAAAACCTATGAAGGGAAGAGAAGGACAAGAACCAACAGTTGGTGAGAGTGGAAGAGGCTTGAGACGGCTCTCAGGGTGGAAGAAACGGAGGAATGCATGGACGTTTGAGCAGTGACTCAGGAAATTGGACTCCAGATGAAAAGGACTTCGAGAAATAAGTAGGATTAGAGATAGAGAGGGTAATAATACTTTTGTGTGGAGAATCGGGTATCTGAGATGTTCTTTGCCAGGTGGTAATCCATCTTCTCAAGTCAGAGGCCAAGAGGACATACATCTCTGTCTAGGGTCAAATCCCATCCTAGAGAATACATTTTGGTTCCATTGCACTCAGCAGAGTCTGAGCACCTTGGGTAGGCTGGGCTCTATGCTGAAAAGTAGTTGAACTGTAAAAAGCTCAACCGTGTTCAGAAGGAGCTCAAAGTCAAGCAAGCAGGACAAAGATTTCAGAGATAAGCCTGGTA